CGTTTTTTTCCTCCACGTAGGCTGGGGTTTGAAAACCCGAGCCCATTTTCCTTTCTCCATGGCCAAAAATCTTCTGGGCCCATTGGATTTGATCAGCTGGCCTCATGAACCTGGCACAGACCCACCAATGAATTCAAACTTTTGAATTTTAAATTTTGCTCGATTCGGATCCGATCTGGGGCTCTTCTTCTCCACCAGCTTCTGTGTTCCACCTTTCAAGTTCACCCCATTTCTAAATATCCAACTCCACTTTAGCAAAGATGTCCACCCTGCATCTCAGGCAATTCATCCTACACATCGACGTTTCTGACTTGCCCTCCATTTGGTTCGTCACTGCCAGCAGCCTCCCCTTGGTGCCTGGCGCTTTCAGTTTCCCAAGGAGTTGACTCACCTTTCCAAGCAACCTTGACCACCCACTTGCATGAAATCTGTCTGGAAACACCACCCTCCTTTTGTCCCCTTTCCACTCCATGAATGAGAAGTGCTCACCCCATCCGTTTTCCCCCAAGCTCAATCCATAGGCTATGGCCTTTCCCATCCCCCACCTCCTAACCCAAGCTCTTTTGCCCTTATTCCAGTATAATACAAACAAACAGCCATAAACCCAATTTATCTCCTCTTCCAGAAGGTTATAGATGATCTGAATCCCCTGCCATTGTCACTCAGTTTAAGACCCTCCACATCCTTACCCACCAGCTCCAACTTAAAGGATTTCTGTTCCACAACCAGGAAGGCCTGGTTGAGGAAGTTGACATGAAGACACCTAGACAAGGACTCATCTCAGACTGGGTAGCACCAAAGATACTCTTCTGTTAGCCAAGGCAGAGAGGATTTTCTCTCTCAAATTGCTGACAACATGTTGCAAGAAGTTTTTCATTTTGTTCACAAGTTATTTATGGTGTGATGTTGCTCTAATTAGACTGGTTGTGACATTTTTTTAGAAGAGAAACCGAGAACCAAAGATGGGGCATTGATGAGAGATGATGATCAAGTAAGCATTCTCCATCTTCTATCATTTGTTAAATGATTTCAGCTTTATTTAACAAATAGTTTTGATCCAATAATATTTGAATAATAAAAAATAGACTAAATTTCAACAAGCACTGGCTATCAAGCAATCTTTTACTGCAAATATTAATGATGATGAACTTAGTTAGAATCCTCTTCTTCCATCCTAGGTTAAAAAGGAAAGGTCCAAATCTTTGTCAGTGTTTGGAACTCTTGTCTCACCGAAGCTTCGAGCAGCCCAACTCTCATTTGAGACAGGTGCATAAATTACTACAAATGTTCTTTGAATTGATTAAAAAAGATAACTAATTCTAGTTTTTACTGGCAGCTCTAGAGACACTAGTGAAAATAGCGAACATGCGTTCATCAATGCTATCTGCATTCGACCAAGTTTGTGCAGAGTTGGAAGCCAGCAAAAGATGAAGATGAACTGTTCCTTCAACTAAAACTTTCTAATAGTTTCTTGGAAAATAATAAAACCCACCCAAAATGAAAGTAATAAAACTTGTGGTAGTTTCTTAAAGCCAATTGAACCTGTAACGCATTTCTAATAGTTCCCCTTGGATATGGGAAAAGAGAGATCAAAATAGAAAGCAAACACCTTTTTGTTCTGAACTGTGTTTGCGATGGTTATTTATTTGGAACAATGGATTTGTAAAATTGGAGAAAGCTCTACAGTTTTTATTTTTTCATTTTAACAAATTAGCACAAAGCAGCAACGTTGAGGTGGTCTGAAACTGGAATAATGCATGTTGAAGGCGGGTGAGCCTTTCAGAGATGAAGTGGGGAAAAAGAGTATCAGAACTTTCTTTGTGCAATTTGTGTTTGAATTGTGTCTCTAATACTTATTGTGGGCTATTTGCTGTATAACCATAATTTCCATTGGTTAAGCATTGATTTTCATTCAATTCTTCACTTGTAGAAATCAACTTTAGCACTGTGTGCCCTATCAGGTTGTGTATGTGATTTAATCGCTTGCCATACGCATTTGTTTGGATACTTGATGTAGCAGAGTAGGGAAATATATGAAGACTTCTGTTCAGATACTTGGTGCAGCGGTGTAAGGAAATGTAGGAAGATTTTTGTTTGGATACTTTGATATTGGCAGTGTAAGGAAATATAAAAGAGCAGGGTCTCGATGTCCGCCTCGAAGTTTCACCATCAATCATCCCATGTCGAAATGAAAAAATAATTTGAGAAAGTGCGTCAGAAGTAAATGGTTTTACTTCCAACTTAGAAACATGCATGAAAGACTGAAGAAATGAGGCAAAGAGCTTTAACTTGTCTTCTCTTGTTGGACATACAAATGGAAGGACAAAACGACCAGGTACAATTAACATCCCAACAAGAGGATTACCTCCAGCAAAATCACCACGTACAAGAAATAAAACCACCGAACGGGAAAGTAAAATTTCATACATCTCAGTTTATCTTTGGTTTCCATAAATCATTACCACTCAAAAGAACAGCAAGTTTCCTTTTCCTCATCCTCACATGGCACACCAGAAAAAATAGGTATGATGAAAATACAGCAAGGTCATCCAGACCAACCCCATACTATTTTACAAAAGTCAAGATACTGTTCCTAGATATACAGCACAAGAAAAAAATGGATCACAATGAAACAAACTCAGCCAAAATGGAGGTAAAGAGAATAAGACACAAAATTATGGACCATCTTCTCCTTTCAACTTCACAATTTGCAGCTACAAAGCATTCCAACCATCAGAAAGCATTCCAACCATCAGAACCCTTCTTCGGACTTCTATTTTCTGATGAAACCTTAAATGGACCACTGGAGCCAAATGGATCAGAATCATCAAATGTGAATGCATGATTGCCACCAAAATCTTTGCTGCTGTTCATGGAGTCAAACCTGGTGAGTCTCTCCGCACCAAAGTCTCTGCTACTACTCATGGAATCAAATCTTGTGAGCCTCTCGCCAAAATCTCTTGAGCTATTTATGGAATCAAATCTTGAGAAGCCACCAAAATCTTTGGTACTATTCATGGAATCAAACCTTGTGAGCCTCTCAGGTTGCTGGGAAAATCCACCATCATTCATGTTGAATGAATCAAATCTTGAGAAACTATCAAAGTTATCTCTTGATGCCTCACTGAACCTTGGTGGAGAGTTTCCAAACTTGGAGAGTGGAGTGCCAGGTACAGAATCATCAAATGCAAAAGGACTCTTCCTATGAAACGCACTCTCAGAACTTGGAGAATCTGTTCTTATTGGGTTTATACCAAAATCACTGGATCCAAAGTAATCCCTGTGTCTCTCAGAATCTGAGTCCTGCTGGTTGAAATCAAATTCAAAGTAAAAGTTATATTTTGTAACAACAGGCCCAAGTCATTTGATAGAACATCATGTGAATCAGCATTGTAAAAAAGGAGAAGATCAAAAGGAGCAGGCAATTGACATTTAAAACCAAGACTTGCATATATCATTCTTTTAATCTCTCTCTAACTTTTTGAAAGATAGGAGTGAATTTGTGTTTTTGTTTCCTTTATTCTAGTCTGCACCAGAAGAAAGTTATTTTTTGAATTGATAGAAGAAAATTTTATTAGGATAAAAAAGACTACAAAGGCATAGGATTGGATCCCCCTGAAAAAACAGAAAAATAAAAAGGAAAAATAAAAAATAAGAGAAAAACTAGCTACTATTAGGAAAGGATAGCTGGCAGATATAACAACATAATTTGTAAAATGATCATGTGCCTTACCTCAAAGAGATGCCACTTATCCCAAAGAAGCAAAAACAGAGAAAACAATTCTAAAGATCCTCACATTCTCTATAAATAAGGCAACCACAAGCCAGAAAAGAGAGCGCTGCACATCAAGCCTTGCACTCTTTCTGCTTGCAAAAATCTCCATTAGCAAAAGTAATAAATCCCCCAAGATTCTTTGTAAAGCCCACAAGACTGAAAATGTCAAAAAGCAGGGACCAAACCTTCTAACCCAAAGCACCATGCAAACCTAGGTGACTAAGACTCAACAGCTTAATAACACATCACATACACATCTGGAGACAAAGCTGATTAGATCCGCAACTTTGGAGCAAATCGTTAATATTCAGCCTTCA